CCCAAGTATATGTGCAGTTTTCAGTAAATTCCACTAATGATTGGATGGATTGCTCAAACATTTGTATGATCATGGTTTCCTATGTCTTGTGAGTGTCCTGACTGCTCCTCTTGATCCACCATCATGTCCAGATTTTTGTTATACTTAATACTCTTATCAGCCTCTGCTGCACTTTGTGTTTAATGCCAATTGTAGTGTTAATAGCAAACGTTATAGTGAATATGGCAATCATTCATCCAGAAGGAATGAACGACTTGTGTTTGCTCACAAAGGTAACAGGAAAACTCAGACCTTGTCTCAGACCAGATAGTGTATCACACTGTTAGCCCGCAGCTCTCAGATTCCTCAGACAGTCAGACTCATAACTCCAGATTGCACAAGCAGCCGTCATAACAGGGAGAGTTAAAAGAATTGACACATGTAGCCTGACTCTGAAGTAGCCACTAAACAAGTCAGTCATACAGTCACGTCTTTTAAACTAGCAGCTTATCTGATTGGACACTTGGCTGCCAGATTCCTGCCTCGAGTCAGAAACTCTTCTCTGTTCTTTCTTTTTCATTTTTTTTTTTTTTGGCTGCTGTCCTCTCACTGCTCCATTCGTCTTCAGAGGAAGTGCTGAACTATTTTACCCATCTAAACTTCCCTTAGGGATAACATAGGACTGCCTGTAATATATATATTAAACTTAGTACATAGAACTTTAAGGGACATCTGATAGAAGAATAAAGCAAATATTTAGCCGACTGACATCAAACACTACAATATAGTACATCCCCAACCACACCCTGATACATGCAGTCAAGTCTGGTGTGAATACCCTTTCAACCGATTATCAGTTTAATTTGCAATAAATTTCATATTACAGAGTACGAAATATTAGATCTGCCTATAGACATTTTATCTGGAGTGTTTTTGTCTCATACGGTTCATCAAGAGTATCATTCAGGGAAACCGACATGGCGTTTCTTTGATGATTGTGAGAGACAAGTATAAAGCATTTCCAGTGAGCTTTTCCACACAAAACTGAACATATCCGCAGACAAGAAGAGTGATATGTTTTGAACTTGAAGGTTTATGCACCACAGACTTAATCATGTCCCAGAAAAGTTTTGGAGTAATAAGACATGTGACAAATCAAGAGGATGACAGCCAAGAACCCACAGCACAATACTTTCTTTTACTAATCTCTCCTAGAACTTTTTCTCAGCTTGTCATCTCTGTTATGTTTTTGTCTATGCTATGAGAAATCTTATTGAGTGAGCTCATTGAAATTAGCAGTGAAAAGAATCAAATATCAATTTACCAAATAAAAGCAAAACTTTTGCGATGAAGACAGACCATAGAGATCAGAAGGATCTGTCTGAGTGGCATGATATTATCTGTAGTTGTACTACTTCTGTCTTCTTTATTCTCAGCTATAACTATAAGAGAAATATTTAAGCACACATATGCTCATATTCAGGTTTACAATTTCACTTTGGGTAATTACTTGAAACTATTTACATGCTCTTATTTTAAGAAAAAGCAACACTTCCCTTATAGTGCTACTCCTTCTCTTTTCAGGCTCTGTGTGAAATGCTTGGTTTTAGCCCAGGCTCTGATTGGTTAGCTGGCCTACTTTGTGATTGGCCAACCATTTTCATGTTAGGGGACATGCCAGACTAGTAGCTAGGCATGTATTATGCAAATGCATTGGCATTACAGGATGATGTGAAAGTGTCAGTCGGAATTCTGACAAGGTATTTCCGGGGCTTCAGGGGCAGGTGTCTTCTACAGGGGGAAGTCTCTTCCTTTACCTTGGAATTTGGATTTTTTTTTTAACTTAGAAGTTTAATTTACATCCTATATGACACACTAGAGGAAAGGGGGAAAAAAGCATATGTCTCCTTTGACATATATGCAAAAATCTTGTCATCCCAAGAATCCTCCTTCCTCCTGTATTGGTTACCAACAGAATATATTAGTGTTTAGTACTAATTGTTACTAACATTGACCAACTAATATCTTGACTGTGACCACCTCAAACTATGTTACCTGGTGTCTTGCATCCCTTACAATTTGGAGTGACATGACACTGAACAGGCTGACAGCACAAACATCTCAGGGTGTTTTCTCTTTGCCCAGAATATTACATTTTCACTCAGATAAACCAATAATCCATTAAGCTCGCTGTTACACTTCAACCTGAATGATAAGAAACGGAGAGAGCTCAGCTCCGTTAGCTGTTAAATTGCAGGGCAATGTCAGCCTGACCTGGCATTTTAATGTGCGTGTGTCAGAGCTGACAAGCAGTGATTGTATCCGGTGCTGATGTGTCCACTGGCTCAGAGAGGCAGGTGGACATGGTGCTAGTTTCTTTTCTTTTTCTAAGCCTGGGGTCATTTTTTGGTAAAGTAAACAGCTGTGATAGTTTAAACTGATATTTCATTTGTTGTTGCAGATATAGGAGTTGGTGGAGAGTCAGGCTATGGGCAAAGAAAACTGAGATTCTCAGACAAAGCTCAGATCAAGAGAAATGTAGATGCTCTTCTCTCGTTCCTGGTTTCATGCCTCCAGCATAAAATCTGTTCAGAATCTTTGCAGTGTCACAGTTTCTGTCAGACATCTTGTTCTCTGTCCTTCTTCCTCTTATCTCAAGAAATCCACTTTGTGACCCCCCACCTCTCTTTAATTTCACCCTTACTTTTTTTTCCCACCATCTGTGTTTGTATCCTCATCTCACTGCCTTCTCTATTTCCAGCATCTGATTCTATAACGTACTGTCTTGACCTTTAAGGCAGCACACCTGATAGGCTTGATGCTTTAATCTCTTTTTTATATCAGCCTCTAGCAGCATAAGAGTGACACAGCGTTTTACAGATACACAGATACATTTTACAGATACATTGTACAGATACATTGTTTTTCATGTTCAAGTTCAGGGAGTCTGATTCAAGTTGCAAAAATAAATCTCACTTATCAATTTCCAACCAATCAACATTATTTTAAACATTGTATTTATTGCAGGGACAATACAACTGTATAAAAATACCAGTATATTCAAATTAGCAGTTCAACTCTCCTTGTGCATAAAATGCATGTGAATGACCTTGTTTCAAGTCGAATATATATATGAACGTCAGGGCTTGTTGACACTTGGATGACACCACATGAGCAGTATTGATGCATGCACCATTGACTTCAATTGTATTGGATTCTGCTGCAACCCCTGAAACTCCAGAAGTGTTTTGTGGACTCAAACACTCCCCCCACCCCTCCATCGGCATGGTGAGTAGATAATGAGTGCATTTTCATTTCCGGGTGAACTATCCCTTTAAGCTGATGAAACACTCACAAAAAGCTGATTTTTTTTAGGCGAGAAAAACACAAAGAAATGTGCATTATATGAATTTTACTCTCCAGAACTACAGAAGCAGCTGTCATAAGTTGTTACACCAAACCATAAACCACACTCTCCAGCAGTTATTATTACTGAAAGCACCATGATGTTTAGAGGACATTTATAACCTTTCATGTAGAATGAGTGGAAACATCAAAAGTAGTTGTGAAACTTGACCTTTTTAGCATAAAATCATGGCTGTAATGCCTAATGTGTCAGGACAAGACTCAAACAAAGCAGTGCACATGAGAGAGCACTGCAGACTCAATTGGAGAGGTTACCCTGATGGGTGTGAACTGTGCTCTACACGGGACATACAGAACCAGACAGTGTTGCGGAATGAACTATAAGAAGTTAGTGAGAAGAAACCCAATGATCCTTTCCTCAAATGTTTCTTTAAGTGAGTAAATATCTAGAGATCTGTGTACTACATCTGTGTACATCTGTTCCTATAAGATTCATTATCTAGTATATCAGGTTCACTATACAAAAGCTGGCCTCTCTCCATTTTTCACACATCCATGCACAGACACGCATAAACAGCAGCACAAAGAAAACACAGCGGCAGACATTAAACGAGTACAGACTCACAAACACAACATAGCCCCAAGCAGCTGGATTACAAGATTAAATAAAGATTCATCTGCACAATGGAATTAGCCAGCGGAGTGGATTGTTCACAAATGAACACACAGAAACAATTGCACCGACAAACACGTGTACTATGCACACAGTGAAATGCATGCACTCGCAAAAAAGAAAACAGAACAATATGAAATGTATTGCAGCAGTGACACTAGCCCATTTAAACCACAGAGGCCACACCAGGGCTAAATGTTCTTTTAGTGGAGCTAGTTAAATTAAGTCGGAAATTGACGGATCATTTCAGCAGAAGAGTGAATCAGGGGACAAGTCTGACAAGTCGTCTAATGAAATAAGGTACACGGTAGGACAATTTGTCATTTAACAACCACTGTTAACAGATCCACATTTTGTAGTATGCCAGTCCTCTGTGGTTAAGTACAAGACACCACATTACAGTCGATTAGCAAAACCTAAGGATGATGCCCGCTGCACACTAAAGGATAATGAAGCCTATTTCGTCTCAGATTCAGCCCTGCTGACGACTGCAGAGGCTTTGCCGATCTGAGGCTGATCTAAACAGATCATCAGGCCAAACGATCGTGTAGCGTGAGGGATTTAAAGTGATCCCAGGGAAACGCCATTTGATTCTGCCTGCACTACTGTTGTATGCCTGAATGACAATAACGTCTGATTTGATTTGATCCGTGAGAGTTGTGTAGTATGAAAGTAACAGTGATCAAATACTAAAAATACATTGAACCTTGATTGGGCGAGCGATCAGAAACTCACAATAGCCAATGAGAGCGATCTGGAAACAGAAACATGGCTGCGTGTTTCTCTGATGATAAAAAATATTTTAAAACTAGAGACTTCACTCAGGAGCAAAAATAAGTCTTTAAACTTGAAAGACATAATAATGTGACATCTAGAGATGAGTATATCAACTGATATGAAAGTTTCTTGATATATTTTAAGCCATATTGTCCAGCCCCCATACATGATGTAAAGACACAGATAGAGGCTGTATGTGACTTACGTTATTTGACGTCCATCATGGTAATGAAGTGTCCACATCCATGCTAATCCTCTGCTCTTGTTTCTGTCTGGTCTTTTAGTTTGACTTCTCTCCTCAGCTACATGCTAACTGCTCTCACAACAACACTTCAGCTAACTGTCATTAGCCACACACGAGCTAACTGTGTTGTTTCTTGTCAGTAAATGCTGTTGACTTCATGTTGTTTGTTGTGTCACAGCTTCAATGGCGACTGCGTCACTAACTAATGAGCTCCACCAGTTACCTGTCCACGCCACACGGTCTGTATGACTACAGGCTGCAATGCCATCTTTCACCACACAGGTTTACCACTATCATGCTGGGGAATCCCGGGAGGCGCTGTTTCACTCAGACATGAGCTGGATGAGTGTAGGCTGCAGTACCACCTTTGACCATACACATTTACCATTATCAACAGTTGGCATCCAGGGGGGCGCTGTTTCACTGTCTTTATATATCTCATCAGACATGAGCTGTATGAGTGTAGGCTGCAGTACCACCTTTGACCATACAGACTTTCCATTATCAGCACTTAGCAGACAGAGGGACGCTGTTTCAAGTTCAACTTTTTATGTAACTCGACCCATCAGACCGGGGAGAACAGGTCAGTGAAAAGGAACTCTTTTGTGAAACTTGTTTGCTTTCATTTGAAGGTAGTAATAGTATTTGCATCTTTGTCCTGAAGTAAAATAAAGTTTGAACTAGTTATCTGCAATGTTTTTCTCCATAATATATCTTTGCTAATATTTGATATTGGTGTATGAAATACATTTGACATAGATGTAAATAAATTAATAGGATTATCACCCTTGCTAATGAGGTTGGGTTTCCACTGCTGTACTTTTTAAAGATTACACAAAAGCTCCTGAGCAGATTTCCTTGAACATTGAAAGAAAGTGTGTTTCAACATTATTGGGGGAAAAGATATGCACAGTCCCTATAATGCACAGACCTTTGCGAAATAATCAGTCATCTGTAGAGTAATTATATCTGTAAACAGGTGGAATTCGGTGCAGATAATGATGCAGATGTATCTGATCTCAACACATGCATATGCAATATCACCATATTGATAGTATGAGTTTAATCGGCCTTGGCGAAGGTATGTGTACTCAAAGTCCCCTTCTAGTTTTTTTTTCTCTCAACGATAAGTCATCACAACCTAATACTTCAGGATACAAATTTGAATAAGAAAATTATATGACACTAATTTAATTTAACCTGTAAATTAATATGGACTTTTTCCTCATGTTTAAATTTGGATTTGCTGTGACTGTGGGCCATGCAAAACATATGATAAAATAGAAATGTATTATTTGTTGAATAGCTTATCTGTGATTGCACATACACGTATCGTTGCAGCATGCACACACCTACACATACATCAAAACATGCTTTATAGTAGTTATATAAACATGTGCAAGATGGAACAACAGTAGTGGTGCGGAAATCTGCTGACAACCTATAAATCCATATTGTGCTAAACCTAAGTGTGAATTGAAGTGTGTCTGAGATTGAAATTTTGTGTCAGCATTTTAAATGTGCATTGTTGCACATTGTATTGTAGCAACCTTAACTTAGCCAGGTGATAAATAAAACATTGATAGTTGTCGGGGGCGTGTGTTATTGCACATGATAGTTTGTGTGTGAGTGTGTGTAGGAGAGAGGTACTGCAGCAGACAAGGTGGCTTTAAATCTAGGTCATCTGGGAGAGTGAGGAGGAGAGAGATAGAGAGGTATAGTGTAAAAGAGTAAGAGAGAGAAAGGTAACATAATGAAAACACAGGGAATCAGACAGCAGGGCATGAGAGGCAACTTTTATATATACCAACATTTTAACTCAGGGATTTTTTTCCTGCTGTTTATTGTTCCAGATAATTCAGAGATAAATTCCATACAGTTAGCCCCTACAGCCGTGTAATATGTTGCTTTTGACAAACAAACCCATATTGTGAGAAAGTTGCCTGGTCATATTCAGTCTGGTTTCTTCAATGATCTTCAATTAGTATAAACACTTTTCCTGTGCTGCATAGATACTGCAGTGTACTGGACACATTAACTGAACCCTGAAAAAAATATATTTTAATCAAGCTGTGTTGGCGGATAAAAGGATCAAAAATGATGTCAGACACACAAATAAATGAGTTCAATAGTTAAATTTTCCATAAAATGGGGAGGAAATAGTAAAAGCTGCACTATTGTAATTAGTTGCCATGTCACCACAGTACAACAATCTTTACTTTGACTAAAAATAGTTTTGTCTGTGAGTCAGGAGTAACTAATTGTCTCAACAACCCAAAACAATAAGAATAGTATGTCTGAACGTTGAGTTCTACTGAGAAAATTATTCCACTCTTTTTGTACATTTATTTTTATCTGTTTGACTACTTTTTATTCATTTATGCCCACACAAGTCTACTTTTCAGAGGACACTCTGACCTCGCTGGAAAAAACATAGAGAAAAAATATGTATTGTCTTTGTTACACATACATTAAATGCATTCTTCAGGGCTTTGATTGTTTTAATTGCCTGTCCAGTTCATGGCTGTTTTTAGAATCACAAGATGCATGAGATGCAGCCAAACACACACACTCACACACACGCAAGCACCAATACACATCCCCCTGACCCTGAAATCTGCAAATCAGCAAAGGAGCTTCATTAGAGCTATCGTGAAGAGTAATCACAACCTGCATTGGTGCATGTGTGTGAGCCCCAAGGGGTCCATTAAACCAGTGATATTATTGTTTGGTGTATGGAAGCCATCTCCGCAAGCTTGTCGAGTTGAACACACACCACGGAGCTGTAACACACATCAAAACACACACAGCTCAGCAGTTTGGGCAAGAGTTGCTCAGAATAATAATGAGACTGATGTAAATATGCACAAATCCAAGGAGGATGCAAATCCAATAATGTGTTAACCGGCAGTAGAATCACCACATTATATTTCTATAGGTGTTTATAAACATAAGGAGACTTAGTCTTCATGCAGAAACACAGCTTTTATTCAGAATGTGATGTTTGTTAGAATCTCTCTAGTAAGTTAAGGGTTACTGTGACTTTCATGCTTTTTTTTGCCTTCCATGCAAACATTTAAAAAGCCTCATGGGTACATAATGATGTCAAAAAAAGCACAGTTATGAGCAGCTTAATGTTTCTATTGGGATCATCCTTTTTCTTCCTCCTGTATCAGAAGAAAACTATTAATACTCATTCAAAGCACAAACGTGTGAGAAGCTACAGTAGCTGCAACTTCTCACACGTTTGTGCTGGTGGGTCTTTATACGTAGGTGTGGCACTACAGGCGCAACAAGTTCATTTCATGACAACACAAGGCCCACTCAGTTGCTGAGTATGTTTACTCATTTACGATACTGGAGGACTGACATGGAGTTCGCTTTGTAGATTATTATGTTTGCTTTTGCTGCTAAATTGCAACACGCTGGTATAAAACAGACTGATATCACCGAGAGCCAGTTGGTGCAGCTGAACTCTGCAGGAGTCTAACCAGTGTGGAGTGGCCCAGAATGACCAGAATCAGTCTGCCTGCTAATGAAAGCACGTCACTCGCTCAAGCATCTGTTATCCCTGAGTGTGCTACTGCAACCCAGTATTTCTCCATTTTCTCTATTATTATTATTATTAAACACAACAAGAGACCATATAATGCACATGTCTTGCACTAGCCTTCAGCCTTGTCTACACTGCTGCAGATATTTTTTGAACAGATATTTTCCCCCCTGTTGTTAAAGAAATCTTTATTTGACAAAATATCTCCATCCAGACGAGAACACAAAAATTATTACTATGACTATCAACGATCTGTCAAAAACCACAGAAGAAAACTGTGGTACAAGTAATATTGGATGTTGGACAAATGCCACGTCGCAGCATTAGGGACATTTGTGAAAATGTCAGTTTTAGTGACTTGGTTGGGAAAAGTTTGCTTTGCAAAATAAAAGCCGTAGTTAGTTTTCACAGATTTTCACCTGGCATATCTGTTGTAAAAGGTTTACTCTCAAGGGAGTTTAGTAATTTGTCACTGTGTCCTTCACAGTGTCATTTTTCCTGCCCACATTAAAAAAATATATTCTTACATTCACTCAAGTTTATTAGGTGCAATGAATTAAACCCCTCAGTAATACATTAACACAGTAGCCTTGCAGAAATAGCTTCAGAAAAATTATAAAGCTTCAGTTTTGTTTAAATAGTGGCATTGGTCATATTCATTCTGCATTTTGTAACTCTATGAATATGTTCTGCACAGAGTAATACAGTTAAAGGTGTTTCTAAATGCCCAACTAATTTACATCAATGAGGATAGAAAAGAAGTATTAATGCTGAATGGATGATTTTCCTTATATTAGGAGGCTATAAAGTTGGAAAAATTGAAAATGCACAACTCAGCATTCAAAGTATTAATTATATATTATTTCTATATCCAATTTTAATGGTTTCTAAGGACACTTAGTGGTAAGAAGAATTTTCTGCAGGCATGTGAACTATTACTCATAGTTAAGTCAGTTTAGTCAGTAATCAAGCATTTTTCATTACTCAGTAAATTGAGTTTCACAAAATATATTTATATATATAATTAAAATAAGATACAATATAAGAAATTATCTTTTTTATCTTATTACTTTTATATTGAGGATATTTTTACCTTTCATGCTTTGGTAGAGAAGGAAAAGGTGGATTTTGAAAGAACTGACAAGGATTTTGCAAAAGTAACTCCACACAGAGACTCAGTAGCTCCACAGAACCAAATGCCCTTTACTTACTCTCAGACTGTCTAGTTCAGCTTCTCAGTCACCATCTGAGTGCTACACACCCCAAGGGCTGAGCTGGTCCTCTCTGAGTTTTGAGAGAACAGAAAAAAGACAGAAGGACAAAGAAAGAAAGAAACTGCGTCAGCGTGAGAGAAGAAACATGGGGGGATAAGATGGAAATAGATGAATCAACTCAGGGCATGTAACGTATTATTGGCACGGCTCCACTTTTTCTGAAGAAACGTCATCAATACATCTCCTCACCTGTGGTGAATCCTGCGTTTTCTCATACCAGCTCTTTCAAACATTCTGCAGACTTTCTAATGAGGGACTGGCCAAAGTCTGCATTAGGTCCGGAGGCTCTCACTCAGAGAGTTCTCACGTGCAGCCCCTCTGGAGAATGTCAGAGTTCAGTGCATATCTGAAAGCAGCTACAATGTGTTTAC